GTGGGACCCCCCTCAGCCCCCAGCTTCGGGGGGCACGGATGAGCCCCCAGCTAAGGGACCACTACCAACGTGCAGAGCCCTCATCTCCCACCAGCGTTCCCAGGGGAGGGTGGGCACGGACTTTGGGGCCAGCGGACGAGATGGTGGGCTGATCGGGGTGAGGTAAAGGCTGCTGTAACTGTGGCTGTCACAGGGCTCCCCACAACCTTGGTGCCTTTTGGCAGGGACTGAAGGTGGGGGGGTGGCTGGGGTCACCCAGGGGAGGAGCTGGGCAATGCAGGAGTCCTGTCCCCAGGTCTCTTGCCCCCCGGCATGTTGTCCTCTCACCCCAGGCATCATCAGGACACAGGAGCCAAGGGCATGTCCCAGCAGGAGAACACAATATCCCTGTGGCATCATGTCCCAGGGCTGCTTTGGGGGACACACGGCACCATCGGGGCCACAATGCTCTGGCCAGATCCTGCCCCGTGGGACCGGCTGCCCTCGGTGCCCATCAGGAGTGACCCCTGCACGGGGCTGCTCTGGATTTACCCCAACAAGCAGCTCCTGGCCCAGCGTGCTGGGGGGCTCTGCCCTTTGCTGCACCTCAACCCTCAGCTGCAATAAAAGGGCTGCCCCAGTTTCAGGCACAGGGGGACAGTGGCTTGTCCCTCCCTCCCGGCCGCACACTGGCTGCGGGTGGCTTCGCCCCGGCCATTGTTCGCGGAGGACAAAGCCCGGGCACACGAGCAGGGGACAACAATGGCACCCGCAGGGACAAGGGCACCCGCAGCTGCCCTCGGCCCGGCCCTCGCTGACCAGGCCCACACGTGGGAGCAGCCTGACACTGGCAGCACTGCGGCACCCAGGGGTGCTGCCGGCCACGGGAGCTGGGTGCTGGGTAACAGTGCCCGTGGGGACCACGGGCATCCCACTGGGACGGGCGCATCCCCCCTTCACTTCCAGCTCCAGGACATGCTCGGCTGCTCCCCTCCACAGGGATTCGGGGCTGAAAATGGCTGTTTTGCAAAGGGAGCAGTTGTAAAACGTGGCGTGGGGCCATGCATACCGGGACGTCCCCTGAGCTGGGTCCCCCAACCTTGGGCGTGGGGACACCCAGAGCCCACCAAAACCCCCAGGTCCTTGGCCCCGGCACAGGGCTCTTCCCTTGATTTTATTTGGACTGCCTGATTCCTGAGTTTGGGAAAAGGGAGATGGCAGCTTTGCTGCTTCCCTCTGGACGGTAAATGTGAAATGCAACCCACCGAGCCCGGACTGGGACGGAAAACTGGGGATTGCTTAAACTGCACATTTCACAAGAGTCTAAGTTACCTGGTGATGTTGATCTTTTATATTATAATTTTTTTATTTGTTTATTTGCTTTTTGGTTTTGGCTGGCAGCAAGTTGTGGTTCAGGTTCAGATGACGAGGGTAGACAGGCGGTCCGGGTACCCACGAGATGCTTTGTGGGAGTTTAAAAGGAAAAAACTACCTGGTTCTTGGTCTTTTGTTTTTAACTTAAAATAGCTGCCTGTGATGGCTCCTGCCTTTTTCTTTTTGTTCTGTTTCGTGCTGTTTACGTGGCAGAGGAGCAGTTGCGATTCGGCCAGCCTTGCAAGCATCCCGGCTGGAGGGAGGAGAGGAGCGGGAGAAGGAGGAAAAACTGCCTTGGCCTCTGGAAAAGGGGGAAAAAAACAGAAATGGGGAACAAAAAAAAGGAAAATGCACCTTGTGATTTCCTGCCTGCGATGGATGCTTGTGCAGGCGGTTTGGGGAGCACCAGGAGGATGAGCTGGGGCTGCTGGTGCCCCAAATCTTGTGTCCCTCTCGCAGGTCCTTCGGTGGGGTGGGTGAGGGCAGGTGGGTGCATGTCCCTGCAGGGAAGGTGGGCAGGAAGGGGGTTAAAGGGTGAGGAAGGCTGCTGCCAGCTGGGGAGGGTGCACTTGGGGACGGGGTGACCCCAGGGACGTGGGGACCTGACCCAGCAGATGCCCACTGCAGCGGGATGGGCAGCCAGCGCCGCAGGGCTCACAGCCGGGGCTTCCCCCAAACCCCTTGCAGCTCCAGCCCTTAACTAAGGGCAAATAAATCCCTTTCCTCTGCCCATCAGGAGCCCGGGGAGTGACCCCCACGCCCCAGCAAGTCCCAATCCGTCCCCCCCCCAACCCCCTCTGCCTGCCCTGG